CAGTCCCCTGACCGTTACCTCAGGACAAGTGCTACGCTTGTGGTATGGTGAAGATTTAGGGGGAAGCACTGAAAGCGACAACGATGGAGCATCTTGCAGTGACGTCTTTGCTCGCTTCATGTAAAACTGCATGATCCGTCTCCTTCTAAGCCTGTGTTTTAAACCTGGTTTAACACGATATTAAGGGAGTGGTGCAGGGTTTTAATTTTTAAAGTTCCTACTACTTGTTTTTACTTTGAAAAACAAACTTCGGAAACTCAATAAACTTTCATTGAAATACTGACATCCAATGTGTTACTTGTCATTTATCTTATTCGTTAATATTTCGATAACAATTCCTCTGCTTGTAAAATTGTATCTATATTATCAAGCTTTTTTCAGTGAGTTTATTTTCCAGCCATGCGCATATATACTGGAAGGGACTCACATTTATCGGCTGAAAAATTGATTTCCATATAAGAATACCGCATGGTGAAATTCCCCAAGTACAGCAGTGTAAAACACAAAAGTTCCATAGAATCATCACAGGCCTATTAAGTAAGGTCTCTTTAAGATTACAGTGAATGATGATATCCTCTGCCCTCTATACATAGTCTAAATTTGGCTCTAAAAAGTAATCATTCATGGTGTGACGCAGATTGTGGCGCACTTAGTGTCAACTTTTGAAAGCAGCTTTTAACACTCTACTCATTACTGGCTCACTTTTAACTATAAGGAATAACAAAGTTATGTTCAACAGCCAACCCTTCAAAATAACGTTGGGTTTTGGTCTTGAATTGAAAAAACCCAAACTTAGGAGTTTGTCACTGTTTCGTATGCTTAAGTTGCGTTTTCCTTCAATTTTGAATCTTCCGCGATTGTCACAGTACAACAAATCTAGCCATACAGATGGACATTTTAGAATAAATGTAACTAGGGATATTAGAGGTGTCCTCTCTATTTTTCTTCTCTTATTTTTTTTATTTATTTATTTATTTTTATTTATTTATTATTATTTTTGCCCGATTTCCCCGTAAAGTTGCATGAATTTTCACGACGGAAAAGCTACAGGAAACCCGCAGGAAGGTCTTAAGTTTTCCACCGCAACAAATGCGTAATCACAATAGGAATTTGCTAAGGTCATACCAGGCAAACTGCGAGATATAGTGACTAGAAATATTGCTAGTTTGGACGGAAACTAGACTCCATGCTCCCTTAGCATTTCCACGGGGTTTCCTGACAATCTTACAGACTCCGTTCTACTCTTGGTTATAGGGAAGCATTCTAGAAGTGAACACAATGACCCGCAGTTCAATAACTTACAGATCCAAGACCAAAGGCAAAAGCCACCCCACCGCTCCTTCTCCGAGTGAAAAGTCAACTACCCCTTTCTGTTGTTTTGGCTTTGTTCTCCCCGATTTTCAGGACCAAAAAATATCTGCGACACATCCTTATTTTCGTTAAAATAATCATTTATTCATGGAACGCTTTTCCATGAGTCTGGAATGTGTTCATCGCTTGGTTCTTTATCACTGTACATATTTACATTAAGTGGACGAACATTTGTTACAAAAAAACAAACAAACAAACAAACAAAAACAAAAACAAAAAAACAAAAAAGCTTGGTACAAAGTTAAAAAACTCTTCGTTCAGTCAGAAATATTGTTGTCCATTTAATTAAACAATTACAACTGTCTTCACATATCAAGTCAAAGAGGCAGTGTTAGCCAGCAAATCTGAAAAAAAATCGGACACTAAATAAACTTGACTAAATAATTAGGCCTTTTGCGTGTTCTCTCGTGACTCGTGTGACGTGACTCAAAATAGCACAGGTCACGCAGTCACGCAAATGAAATATTGCTGGGGATCCACTACTACCAGCGCTTAGCTTCGGATTCCGTTGTTTGACGCCACCTGAGGAACCGAGAGAGGAAATATTGCCATTCCCTCTGTTCCCCGGCCCCCTGAAGAGAATGCTAATGTATAGCAGGTGACCTCCAGCACTGATGAGGTGTCCCTAGGAGTACTAGTTCAAGGGTACCCGTTCATTTATCGTATTAATTAACATTCCAATAGCAAGCCCTTGGCTTGTGCTTGTGCTTGTCCGCCATCTTGTTTTACTGTATCG